GAAAGAAAGAAAGAAAGAAAGAAAGAAAGAAAGAAAGAAAGAAAGAAGGAAAAGAAAACCTTTCCCTTTGGAGGGAAAGTGCTTCAGTGTTATTTTAGTAGGAAGGTACAATAATAGTCATAGTGAAAATAGTAATGGGCTGTTATTACCCATTCAGTGCTCTATAAATATGCACTAAGTTTGTATTTGTGTGTTTGGATATAATGAAATCACAGAATGACTGCTATTTGGAGGATACTGCTACAAAATATTTTATCTAGAACCTAGACTAGTTATCAAAAGTATTCATCTACCTATTATTCATCATGACTTTAAAGGGTGGGATCTAGAGAAAGGTATGTCTGGAAACTGCTTTTCCACGTAACCATGCAGGTGCACAAACACAGACACATGGATGCATATAATAGGTACATATTAAGGGCATGTATGAAAATGTGTACATGTATGGGAAGTGTGGGTCTGTACTTACTATAACAATGACTGAGGTACAGTGCTACACAGTTTACAGAAGACTTGCATTCACTTTTCATTTAATCTTGACAATATTAGGGGGTATCGTTAGTCCTCACCTTACGGACGAGAAAACTGAGGCTCCGAAAGATAACTTTCCCCAAAATTTGATGATGATATGAAGCTATAGAACCAGTCATTTATTCTAATTCTGGGCCCTTCCTATATTCGGCAAATATGTGGCAAACACCTACTGTGTTCTTATGGCCACAAAGATTCAAGATTTATTCCACTGCCCTCAAGGAATTCACACCTAGTGGAGAAGAGAAATTGCAATCTTGTAGGATAAAAACTCTGTAATCAGCCTGAGGCTTGGTGAAGGCTTCCAAGAAGAGAACAGCCAGGCGGAATCTTGAAGGACAAGCTGCAGGAGTCTAATGAAGGAGGGGGCTGTGTACCAGCCAGAAAGACAATGCGTGCAAAGACATAAAGGCAAAAGAAACTCCGTGTAGTTCAAGAGAGCTAGGGCTTAGCATGTGTGATGGGAAAGTGGGGGCGGCGGGGGGGGGGGGGTGGGGGGGAGAAAGGAGAGGATAAAGAGCGCCCTATACTCGGCATTTGGATTTTCCTGATGTCTCTAGGGAATGAAGAAAAGATTTAAAGTAGGGAAATGACACGATCAAATTGCATTACATAAAGATCACTCCAGCTGCTGTGAGGACAGACTGGAGAATGCCCTGGCAGAGGAGAAATGATGTAATGATGCAGACAAAATGTAATATTTGTCATTACTAAGGCAGGAGGTTGTTGCGGGTGGATCTGAGAGATATTTAGGAGGAACTGGTAATAGCCAAGGAGCTGGCCTAATTGGTGGTAGAGCCACTCGTAGTGTACAACAGGGACTAGAAATCCAATCTGTTTTCAGCAGAGTGGGTTCTACGAATCTAGGTCCACCTGCACGTAAGTGACCTCCAATAGGGGAGCTGGCTATTCAGGTCTAGTGTTCCAAGAAATGGTCTGAATTGTAGACAGATATGTCATTAACCTCAAAGGAAATCATAGAACGGTTAATAATAATTGCGACCATGCACTGAGTACTTGCTATGTATCTGGCACTGTGAAAAGCACTTTCAGTAGATTTTCTCATTTAATCCTCGTAACAACCGAAGGAAGGAAGTATGACGATTAAGTAGTGCTTAGGGAGTGGCTTTCATGTACGGAAAGGTCCAAAAGAGGATCCTGAGGCTGATGTTTAAGAGGAATGGCAGGAGACCACTTTCGACTATACACAAGAGGCAACAGATCTACCTCCAGTTGGCGGAATTTTCAGTTCCATCCTTTCTCTGCATGCCTAGGACAACATCCTGGATTGGCTGTCTGGGTTGGACAGCCTGTTCCCACCTGCTTAAGCCTTTGCGAAGGGAGATCCCTCAAACATGGTGCCCTGTGGGGTTCTTTTGGCCCCTACGTCATCAAGGTCCCCCCAGCATGAAGGTGATAGAAGAAAAGGCTGTTTCGGTGCCTTGAAAACTGCCTGTTCCACTCCACACCCAGGGAAAACAGATCACAACTGTTCCTTGAGACACTTTGGATTCCAACTAGGCAGCATCGGCCTAGTCCAGGTCAACCAGGGCCAGGCAGGGAGGAGGGAGAAAGTGCCCTAGACTTCATTTTCAGTGTGGCAGACAGTTGCCCAAGTCATTGTCTCACATTGAGAAGGTGCTCCTCGAAAGCAAGCAAGAGCAGCGTTGTCTTATACTTAATGGTGGGTAATTTGTTAGCCTCTCCACGCACGCCCAACATTGATAATTTGGGAGTTTGTTGTGTGACAGGAAAGGATCAGTTGCGTAGAATTCTGAACACTGGCTTTACTCTAATTATTATTTTGCCTCGTTATTAAAGTTGACTCGAGTTTTTGTCTTATGTTGGATTCAAACTCTAAACACAACTAAGACTAGCTGCTATACTCCTCATTAGAGGAACCATCACCTTGTCCCAATGGCCCTTGAAGGCTCAAAGTCCCATGCAACAGAGCTGATATATTTAAAGGAGCACCGCCCAAGTAAAATGGTACTGACTTCCAGTTTTGCTTTAAATTTGCCCCTCTGAACCCAAGACTATTATATTTTGGCTAAATTATTCTTGGTTTGAATGAGAACGTGGGGTGAGGAATGTGGATGACGGAGTGGTAGGAGGAAGTATCCTAGAGAGTTGATCCATACTCAGCTAAACCGGTCATGGAGACTGGTGGACCCCCATATTTGAAGTTAACTCTCTTCAGGGAGTAAGGCGCCCCGACTAAGAAGCTACCCCGGGCTCTCCAGCTGTGCAATCTGGGGAAATCAGCACTCTGGGCTCCAGGATGAAGGAAGGGGCAGGAGCATCTCTAAAGCATTCTGCAAGGTTAGCATTCACTCAGTCCTAACACAAGAATAAACAGCGTTCTATCCTCTGTTCCTTTTCCATCTGGTACGGGTAAGGGGCTCACTGTATGTTGACACGTGATAGCATCAGAGAATGTAAGAACAGAAATTGGATTTATGAACAGACCACCTAGATTAAAAATCAATAGATGTGTGTATATTGTTATATATTGTCTACACATAATACACACATGTGTGTACATATATACATATATATGCATATGTGTGTGTGTGTGTGTGTGTGTGTGTGTGTGCGCGCGCGCGCACGTGTGTATGTTGTATATACATGAGGGAGAGAAATAGATCCAGCGAAATCGGTCAAGATATGCAGCAGGTTGATGACAAAGCCAGGTCCAAAGTACAGATTTTCGAACTACATGTCAGGTAATTTGCCTACTGGTCTCTGTATGAGTCATGTAAGTCATCAGAACCCCGGATGATGTGATAAGATTCATGTGTAATCAGGTCCATGTGTAGTGTGTTTCCTTCCCCCACCATCATTAATACTGTATTAGAAAAAGCTGCAAGTTCTGGCGACAGCATGCTTCTTCTTTTAAATGGGGGCTCTAAGAATTTACCCCTCCTTTTAATATTAACGCTACATGTAAATTCGCTGAAGGAGAATATCATTTTTCAGAGGTGATGATAGGGATCCATTTAATGGGAGAAGCTAAAAGAGGAAATTATCCAGCTTGTCCTTCCACTGAGGGTAATGTGGGGGTAGTGAGCCCTGTGGGCACTAGGCATGGGAAAGAGGGCACTTCCCCTGTTCCATCCCAGCTGTGTGCCCTGAGCAACTAACTTTACCTTTCTGGGTCTCAGTTCATCTTCAGAGAAATTCAGAAGTTGAGTTCGATCATTTTAATGAACGCTGACATTCTGAGATGTCATCTGGAGAAATTCCCGAAGCAAACTGCCCCAACTTTTAGCCACTGCCCCCTGCCTCTCTCTGCTAAATAATTTTAAAACCTGGGATAGTGGTCTACACAATAATAGTAGCAGTTAATGCAGAGAAACTTTGTACCTAAGTCTTGTCTAGACTAGGGTCTAAGAGTGGTTTGCAGGCTATTGTCTTCACTTAGTTCATTCAATATTCATTCGGTAAATATTTAAGTGCCCCATGTACTAAGGCCTGGGGATTCAACCAGTGTAACCTGACCAATTAAGGAAGCAGTAACAGGAAAACGTGCTTTTCAGGTATAATGCCAAAAGTGACCTATAGCCTCTGAATCTGACAATGCATCACTCTGCCACAGCTGGCTCTGGGTCCTGGGCAAGTCACGGCCTCCCCAGCCTGGCTTCTTCAGCCGGCCCATCTTCAAGGTTCCCGTCCTGGGCTACATTCAGTTCCTGAAAGGCCTCAGTGATCGCCTCGGGCAGCGGCCAACTGCTCCCGTGAACGCTAGACGTCCCAAGTAACCCGAGCCCGTGGCTCCCTCCCATTTGGGGAGAAAAAAAAAAAAAAAAAAAAAAAAAAAAGCGTTAGGGGGGAGGGGGGGGTTTTGGTGTTACTGCTTCCTTAATTGGTCAGGTTACACTGGTTGAATCCCCAG